TTGGATCCCCGTTTTGTGCGTTGAGCGGCCGCGGGGCGAGTAACGGGCCCGAGCGGAGCCGCTCCGCGCCTCGCGGTTTGTGACGTTATTGCTTAAACTGGGCCCCAGAGAGGCCTTGAGCGAGAGGGAACGGCCTCGGGCTGGGCCAGGAGAGGCTCAGGTGGACATCAGCAGGAATTTCCCCATGGAAAGGGCGGTCAGGCCTTGACAGGGGCTGCCAGGGGGGTTTGGAGTGCCCATCCCTGGACGTGGCACTCTGGGCCGGCGGCGAGATGGGGATCGGGCACAGCTGGGACTCGATTGGCCTTGAAGGGCTTTTCCAGTAAAGGATTCCGTGATTCAAACCTAATCCCGGCACAGCCGCGCTGGGCCTGGGCAGCGCCGGCCCTGCCCCGGGTGGTTCCAGCAGCGCCTTCCTTATCAGGGCTGTGAATGGAGCGTTCTGGGCAGATAAGGCTCCACATTCCTGCTCCTCTGCATTTTCCCTGTTTGTTTTCCATTAGGTCATTCACGTTTATGAGCGGCAGTTTTGTGTACAGCAGTCTTTTGCTGGTAGTAGGCTGAATAATACCTGTTGGCATCAATGATTTAATACCAGTGTATGTGTGGCTGACTGATACTATGATTCATTTGTTTAGCGTGCGTGATGTCAAACCCTTTGGAATTAAAGTGAAAACCCCCAGAATAAAGGTGAAAACCACAGAATTAAGTTTCCCTGGTGTGCCCCAGCCCCATGCCCACCCCTGAACTTTGTTGGCCTGTTGCACTGGCTGGTTTAAACCATGGATTGCTGTCAGATTTTGGGATATGCCAGGGACCAGACTGGAGGGTGTTTGGCTGGAAGAGCTGTCAGGCAGACTTGGTTTCAGTTTAAAGCCTCGTGTGCAGCTCAGACCTTGTGTGCCAATCCTTACGGCTTCTCCCTCATTCTGTTTTCCCTCCTAATCTGAAGACGGCTGGATTTGGAGAGATGGTTTTTAAAGATGGAATATATCTTCTGAATTAGTTAGAGGGAGAAAACATCTGTTAAACATCAGGATAAGTTTAGGTCGTGAATTCTAATGATGATGGAATCCTTAAGGCTGATGGAATTATTAAATCCAGCCATTCTCCCTCACAGCCAATGCCACACTTCCCATGTCCCTAAGTGCAACATCCACAGGGATTTAAATCCCTGCAGGGATGGGGACTGCAGCACTGCCCTGGGCAGCCCTTTCCAGGAAGGAATTTCCCCAATATTCAACATGAAGCTCTCCTGGTGCAACTTGAAGCCATTTCCTCTCGTCCCACCACTAGTTACTTTTATGTCAAATTTTAGAGCTGTAAATAGCCTTTAAACTATTTTTTTCTAGTGCTGGGGCTGCAGTTTTTATCACTCCCTCCTTTACCCCTCGATTTTAGAACCTGCACGAGGAACCCGCTGAAGTGCAGCAGCCTGGGAGTGATTCAGATCTCTGCCTGTTGCACTGGGGAAGGCACAGTGATACTCTTTGATACTTAATGTGTAACTTAATGTTACAAAGGATTTTTTTTTTCTCAAAATCACAGTGTCACAGAATGGTTTGGGTTGCAGGACACTTCAAAGCCCATCCAGTTCCACCCCTTGCCGCGAGCAGGGACGCCTTTCACTGCTCCAGGTTGCTCCAAGTCCATGGCTGCCTAATGATGGAGAAAATAAATACTTTAAAAAGCAGTTATTAGAAAACTTGCAGGGTAGACCACATGGACTCTTGAACATTGTGCCAAAGTTCCTTGGCTTGGTGAGCTCCTGGGAAAACACGAACTGTTATCTGGGGTGGGGACTTCGGCTTTCTTTTTGGAATCCCAAATGCATTTGCCACTTGCTCCGAGGAGAACGGCAGGAACCAGGAGTGGCAGTGCAGGTGTGAGGATGACAGTCCAACACTGTCCTTCATCCCAGCTGCACTCACAGCTGGGAGCTGGTGTGTCCTACAGGGACAGATCCCTGGGATCCCTGAGCTGTCAGGGCCATGGAGAAGGCTCAGCTCAGTGCCCCGGTTCAGGAGGGAGGGCCGAGATCAGCCAAGGCTGGATGGCACCCAGCCAGGTCAGGCTGGCCTGGCACAGCAGGGCAGGGCCAGGCTGTGGCTCTTGGCAGGGACATCAAAGGAAGAGTGGGAGGAAGCAGGAGTCTGTCCCAGGGGCCGGGAGGAAGCAGGAGTCTGTCCCA